TCACAGCCCCTCGTTTGTTGTCCTCTTCTCCCTCTCTGCCTACGGTTTACCGGGCAGATCTATTTGACGATATATATATATATATATATATATATATATATATATATAGAGAGAGAGAGAGAGAGAGAGAGACAGAGAATAAGCGGCCGACTCGGATAGAGTCCGAATGAAAGTGGTAAGGATAAGGTGGGTAGATTATGATTTGGTCGCTATGGGGAGAGATGATGCAGCCTCTCTCTCTCTCCTGATTAAACTAAAAACTTCAAGAGCAATCTCTCTCTCTCTCTCTCTCTCTCTCTCTCTCTCTCTCTCTCTCTCTCTCTTTCTCTCTCTCTCTCTCATACACACACACACACACACACACACACACACACACACACATCGTGCTTTGTATTCATTTATTTTTAACTCAAAATCTTGAAGAGCAATTCAATGATATTGTACATATGCATCATTTGTTTTAATCGTTGCTGTTGTTTGTTTTTTTTCTTTTTTCTTTTGCAAAAAAAAAATCCATTAAACCAACCAATAACTATTGTTTTCATTGAATATAATAGAGAGTCATTATCGGTGTATGACTGTGTATCTATATAGGCAAAAATACAACATTTGAATGCTAAATTGTTTGCAACATTTATCCATTCTCTATGTTTTTTTCTTTTTTTCCCCTCTTTCTATGTAAATATTGATAACAAATTAACTGGTTGATATCCTTACAATTTTATTTCCCTCCTTTATCATACCGTGTATGGATTTCTATGTGTATAACTAGAGTGTTAGAATTTTTAAACACTTATTGTCTCACCCAATAAGCACGTTTGCTACCTCAAAATATCGTGTCAGAGTTCTCTCTCTCAACCATAAAGTGGTTTGATTGAATTTCAACTTATATTTGAGCTTGCAGTTGCTGTAACAAAAAATAGACTTACAAATGTTGCATCATTTTTGTCAAGCTATAAAGTATTTGTGCATGAGTTTACTCACGTGATTGCACTTCGGATAGTTGTCGAAGGTGAATTTTCACCACTGGAGGTATGCTACTGTTCGCAGTCTCCCTCTCTCACGTACAGTGTTAACCTCAGGAGTGTGAGAACCCAGCCTTTAAAGTCCCGAGTAAAGAGAGAGAGAGAGAGAGAGGAAAAAAAAAAAAAAAAACATCAACTTTAATCCTTGTACGTCAATGACATCAATTTTCTCAAATCGTGCATAAAAGTGCACAACGGGGAGGAGAGAGAGAGAGAGAGAGAGAGAGAGAGAGAATAAGAGGCCGACTTGGATAGAGTCCGAATGAAAGTGGTAAGGATAAGGTGGGTAGATTACGATTTGGTCGCTATGGGAAGAGAGGATGCAGCCTTTCTCTCTCTCTCCTGCTTAAACTAAAAAACTTCAAGAGCAATCTAGTGATATCGCAGAAACGCATTACCTGTTTTTTAGGTAGCAAATCTAAATATCCGGCAGACCAATTGTATCCGTATTTTTCAATCTAAATAAAATTTCCAGATTAATTCCGAATATGAAAAATCCGACACTGCTCAAAATATGTGTTTTTAACAAAAATAAATAAAATCAACAGAAGTTGAAAAAACGTATGTTGTTTATATTAACGGTACAAATAAATTTTGGCTTGATGTCATCTTTGATATCTCAACAGATATGAAGATAAAAAATAAAACAGAAAAAGAAAATGATATTTAGATAAAAATTAATAAAATGAATTAAGCATCCCCCCTCTAAATCCCTTTATTCCCTATTTTACCTCCTTTGAACGCTTAAGCTTTTCATGAATTTTTTTGCATGTGCAATATCACTTTTTTTTTGGGAGGGGGGAGGGGGAATTTTTTTTTAAATATCCGGATTTTCGAATAATCGTACCCCCCAATCATCCGACCTAATAATCCGGCCAGATTATCCAGCCAAATAACCCGTGCTACCTAGCTTGTTTTAATAATTGTTGTTGGATTTTTTTTTTTTTGCAAAAACATATCTATCAAACCAACCAAAGACTATTTTCTTCCTTCAAATATAATATAGAGCTAGGTTGTTTTATCGGACGTCCGGGACCCCTCTGACCGTCCGAGACGTCCGACCGGATGTCTGGTCGGACGGGGGATGTCCGACCTAGCGCCAAAAAAAAAAAAAAAAAATCTTTTTTTTTTTTTTGAAAAACAATCATGTGGATTCTACCTTGCATAACGTGTATGCCACCAAAATTTTGGCTCATTTGAGCCAGTAGAAAAAAAGATACAAATCTTCAAAGATTCTAATCCCCACCTATAACCCTCTTATTCCTACCAAAACCCCTCGTACCCCCCCCTCCCACCCCAAATAGCGCGCTATCACCAAATGCTCAGAAAATTTTATGGGGGTTCTCTATGGCATGCGCAACAATGGTTTTTTTTTTTTTTTTTTTTTTTTTTTTCCTGCCAAAAAGTCGTCGTTCGGAAATTCGGACGACGGGGGTACCTTACGTCCGGGGAGACAACCGGGGGAGACGTCCGATCACCGGACCATTGGTAACATAGATACAGAGTCATTATCGGTGTATAATTATGTATCTATATAGACAAAAATACAATATTTGAACGATAAATTGTCTGCAACATTTATCCCCTTCTCCATGTTTTTGTTTTTCTATATAAATACGTATAACAAATTAACCGATTGATGTCTCTACCAATTTATCTCCGTCATTCATTATACTATGTACGGATTTATATGGGCATAATTGACGTGTTATAATTTTTGAACACTTATTGTTCTAACCAATAGGTACATATGTTACCTCAGTATGTCGTGCAACAATTGTCTCTTTCCACCACAAAGTGGTTTGATTGAATTTCAACTTAAATTTGAGTAAGTAGTTGCTATATAAAAACATAGACTTCAAAATGTTGCATATTTTTTGCCAAGGTATAAATTACTTGCGTATGAGTTTGGACAAGTGATTGCACTCCGGATAATTGTCGAAGGTGAATTTTCACCAATAAAGAAATGCAACAGTCTGCGGGCCCCCCCTCTCACATACAGTTACTAACCTCGAAAGTGTGGGAAATCCAGCGATATATATCTATATATCTATATATATATATATATATATACAAAGAGGAAAAAAAAAAAAAAAAAAAAAAAAAAAAAAAAAAAAAAAAAAAAAAAAAAAAAAAAAAAAAAAAGAGGGATAAAGAAAGATTTATGGAAAGAGACAGAGAGAGGAACCATTAGCTTCAATCTTTGTACGTCAACGACAACAAATTTTGCAAATCGTGAACAAAATTACACAAAGGGGAAGAGAGAGAAAAAACAGGAGGTCGGCTCGCACTCGCACTACTGACGTACATAAATAACTCAATTGTTTGAGGTTATGATAAGAGAGATGAAAAGTTGGATAGGATTAGAATGAGACTGGTCGAGATAAGGTGGGTAAATTATGATTTAGTCGCTATGAAGAAATAAGATTCAAATTCTCTTTCTCTCTCACCCCGCACTGTATTTTTTTTTTTTAAGTTTAAAGTCTGGGACAAAAATTCAGTGATATTGTTGTTGGCATGAATACCCTTACAAGGGTATCCGCCCTGCTTTTTGTAAGTGTCAGACAACAAGTTTTGGCTTGAAAATTGAGTGCACCACGCGAATCTCGGTAGTATTTGCTTTAGGTCCATAGCATGTTGGACTGAAAGTATCAGGAGTCTGTGGGCGCACAGTTTTGAGATGCATATGATGGTTTTTATTGATGTTACAAATTTGGCGCATTTGCCGGTCAACCTTTTGTTTTCGATTAAATTAGGACTGAATGATTTGTTATCGTGATTGGTACATTTGACAGTGGCACGCACGCGCGCGGTGTGCGCAGAAGTGGCGTTGCTATGACCGACTTCGGGTCTGACCGCTAGTGCCGCAAATTTTTAGAAATATTTTTTTTTTTTTTTTTTTTACTGAAAGGACTTTAGGACCTACGTAGCACACGGTACAGGGTTTTCATGACGTCTGCAGAACAATAAGAGTTTTTTTGCTATTCTGAAGAGGACGAGCACGAACGAGGTTTGGTTTAATGAAGTTGGATTCTTACCAGTGAAATGGTAAGGGAATGGGTTGGCATGTTGAATAATGCGTGCGATGACTATGAGTGGCAACAACCCCTTCGTACGGTGTGGGTCGACATTCGCCGACCGTGAGTTTACCCGGTAACGCCAAGGTATGGCCTTGGTATGTGTTGGTCAGGCTGAGTGCCGAGCAACATCCATTTATATGGGATTGCATGGCTGCTTATATCAACTTTAGGCCTAGTACTACTAGTTAGGGTATTTGACTATTATCAGGTGGGTTTCGGGATCGAAGCTAGCGACCTGCAACACGGT